AAAATTAATGTAAGTTCAACTTTCAAAAAAACATGTCTCTAGACGTTTTTTTTTTTCCCTCCCATCCCACTGCATCTCATGTTTTTAAATAAAAAGTACTCTGTGTGATTGGCTTTCATCCCTTTGTATTAAACTATCCATACATGATGCTGTTTTGTTTATAATTAAGCAACTTAATTATATTTGGTTTATAAACATTATGCACTTTTTCACAGATAGTCATGTTATTGTATTTATTTAATAAATGTGCATCAATATTTTGCTCAATGCGCCCTCCCTTGGCCTCAGGAGAAAAGCCAAAAGCTTTTTAACCTCTAACTGAGGAGAAAAGCAGCTTTTTAACCTCTAACTGAAATTATGCCTTTTAAGTTCGAATATAGTGCAAATTTCAAATGTAGTTTTTCAGTCAATTTGACAGCCCTAGCCTTCATGTTGAGTTTGTCTATAGTTATAATTGAGATTGATGCCTGACTTTAATTGTGTATTGATTGCGTTTCAGCCGTGCTGTGTCTGGTGGATTTGGCCGGTAGTGAGAGAGTGCAGAAGAGTCAGTCTCAAGGAGAGCGATTCAAGGAGATGACCGCCATCAACTCTTCCCTCACCAACCTGGGAATTGTGATCGCCGCTTTGGCCAGCAAGGTATGTTTTTAGCTAACCATATGAAACCAATTCTGAGTTACTGGTTTCTCAATATCATACTTTATTTTTAAAAAAGCAAAATAATAGCCTTCTTGGTACATTATGCATTATAAGTAGTGAGCTAGAAATGTTGTCTTCAGTTATGACTTGCTGTGCTATAATGATTTCTCACATTCATTTTCTTTCTGAACATCTACAGGAGAGCTTTATTCCCTACCGTAACTCAAAGCTCACATACCTCCTCCAGAACTGCCTCGGAGGCAACAGCAAAACGTACGTATGATGCTCAAGAACATGTTTGTTTTATAGCCTGAGATGGTATTTTCTTTTAGGGGTTTGCAGAATACAATTACTGTGTTAAGGAACATGTGACTCATTTCTTTTCCTCTGTACAGTTTGATGTTTGTGAATATTGCACCTGAGGAAGAGAGCTTCAGTGAGTCGCTGAATTCTCTGCGCTTCGCCAGCAAGGTGAGTGATCTCAGGTGATCACATCAGTGTATTTATTTTATGAAAGTCTCCCAATCTTCAACACTGTCTATAACTTACATTTACTGTGTTGCAGGTGAACGACTGTGTCATCGGAACAGCCTCAGCTAATCGGAAGTAGTTCAGCTGTAATCCACTGTGGTCATTTAAAAAAAAAAAAAAAAGTTTTGAACTTT